GGAACAGTGCCAAGGCGTCAGACGACTTGTTTTTTTCCCTCAGCTCAAGTCTCGTTTATAGGACAAGAAGAGAAGTTAGTTTTATCTGGAAGTGAGTGATGGCTGGTTTTCCCAAGAGTTGCCGCTGAGTTTTCATGATTTTCAACTGTGAGATGAAAAACAAGTGATTTACTTGCTGCAGAAATTTGCTCCCCTGTACTTGTTTGCTGCTGACTGACATGTTGCCATGAGGACAAGACGTTTTATGCGGAGACCAAGTCAAGAGTGGAATGTGATACGACACAATCTCTCAGTTACCTGTGTGGAACTGAAGTGAACTCTACAGTAGAACGAAGAGGAATCAACAGTGTATACTCCCAAGAGAATAGCTGTGCAGAGAAGAACAAGAGTGTTTCACCAGTGCTTGATGATGTGAACTCCGTGTGAACTGTGTAGTTTGTATCTCCTATGCTATGCAAGATTTCCTCTCCCGGTACATTGAGAGTACGCACCGCTTCGATGTGCTCTCATAAAGACACTTCCAGTTCACACAAGCATAAGGCACCAAGACTTTCTAACTCTGAACTGAACCACGCGATAACGAGCACCAAGAGACCACGTCTAGCAATCTATTAGACATAAAACAAGGACAACAACAAGGGTTATAACTACATCAGCAGTATGACAACAACAACGACAACAACGTCTGACAGCCTAGCTCACCCCATGGCGCCGGGGTACCACGGACATCTTGCGGAAATTATGTACAAACGTCTTGTGCTGAAGAAATTCCAGAAGGACTTGTTCAAACTGAGACGTGCCCCCAGCCATGACTCCTTCCTCCTGGAGCTCCAGAAAGCAGTAAGAAGACAACGATGTCTTGTTTTTCTTTTGAAGCCATTTTGGTGATTTTGTTCACTGATATTTCATGTCGTCGGAGAGTCAAGGGATGCTTTTGTGCTTATGGGAGAAAGAATTTGTGATTTTGTTTTGAAATTACAGAAGGTGCTTCTTTTTGTTAGCATTGTTATTAGCTTTTTTACCTTCCCTGTGTTAACTACTACAGATACCGCAACTAGATAACCATTTTATTTAAACTTAACTTTACAGTGTGTCAGTCAACAACTTACCTCTTTGAATGAAAGCCATTTAGCAGCTAGTACCTATTGGTTATAAATGGGCTTAGGCAGGAGTGAGAGCCTCAGTGTTAAAGCTGTAACACTGCCAACTGACTGGGACAAGTGCAGAAAAATGATACACCAGAGTGTAACCAGTGACTGAGGAGGCATTGTGCTGGGAGCACATCTGGAACTTGAACCCTACAGTCCCCAGGCACTTCACCAGGGAAAATGAACAGTTTTACACAAAGGTTTACTTATGTTCCAGTCTCTTATCAGATGGAGGAAGACTTAAAGGCAGATAGATCAAGCTTCTTTAAAAAGCTATTAAGAGGTCCTTAGCATTTAATCTTTGGAAGTTGGAACCCTTGTTTACTGTACTTGACCCACACAAGGAGTCTTGGCTTTAGCTATACCCAAATTCATCTTTATATACGATTTTATAGCTATATCTATTAGAAATTTAGAACTATGATGTTTGAAAGGTCCTTAGCATTTAATCTTTGGAAGGTGGAATCCTTGTTGACTGTACTTGACCTACACAAGGAGTCTTGGCTTTAGCTATATTCAAATTCATCTTAATATACGATTACTCTATATTGCTATATCTATTAGTAGTTTAGAACTATGATGTTTGAAACCCTTGGTAAAGACTTCTGCATGTACTATGCCAGGGTAGCTTTATCTTAGCAAAACACATTGCCCCAGACTAGCTCAGTAGCTGATCCATATCATCATATGCTAGCTGATATGAATTTTAGTTCATAGTATAACAATTGAAAGTGCAAAACTAAAGTCTGCCCTTCAAATACAGAATGAAAGATTGGATGTCACAATTGTTTTTCAGCAGCAAATTGGATAAATAGTTTGATCTAATTAAAGGAGATGATATCATCATCGGGTTATCCAATTTTGGTTAAGCTCAAAAATGTGGGGACATGCTGATGGCATGTCTAGGGGTGAGCCAGGGCCAGGTGTTTCTGAGAAGATATGTCAACATTAATAAGACTCAACTGTGAATACAAACCAGAGGAAGGGAAATTTTTAATTGTCCTGGTGTACTGGTATAGTTACTGTATTATCTATCCGACAGACTGGGAAAGGGGTAGGTACCTGTATCAGTAAAGACGGTACAACACACCAGCTTCCCAGACACTCGGCGCGGCGGCAGCTAGCTATATCACGCCAAATGACTTGTTACACTCAATCTTTGCGCATTTAATTGCAGGAGTTGTTTAAAGCTTTCTAGTGATGATGTCCTAACTGTGCTTGGTGGCAACAAGTTCCTGTCTACGGTAGTTCTTGGGAAATACAAGTTTTTGAACACCTCAATTCTTGGTTGATAACTCTAGCATTTGAAGGCATGACTGTTTCTTGTTCTTTTCTGGGCTGGTATCAGATACTTAGTATTAGGTATGTGGCTTGCTAAACCTTGGCCTTATTCTGACAACCGAAGCAAGTGAGTGATTTTGGCTGAGGGTTATATATAAGGTACATGAATGTAGTATACTAGTGTCAAGGCTCACTGGTACACATGTGGAGGAAACGTTGGTCATGCCATGAGTGATTTCCAGCACAACTGGCAATCAGGATGCTCAGTTCAATCAAAAAGGCTATCTACTGAGCTACCATGTGATGTTGGCCATGTGTACAACTATAGGGGGTAGTTTATGATCCCTCTCACTCTTTTAATCTTATCAGGCAAAGACCTCCAAAGATGCTCTAGAGAAAAACCAATGTAAATATCTGCACTTTAAAATTTGTTTAGTGGTGGCACATTACGTCTTGTAATTTTTTGCCCACCCAATACGATATTGTTTTTGTCAAAATATACATATACATGTATGTAAAGCTAAGATTCTTTACACACTTTCAAGTCATACGTATTTCTTTATTAAAATTTTCCACCAGATATATTTGGAAGGGGAGAGAGAACAGGTGAAGCACCTTTTCCAGCTCCCGGCCCAAATGTACATCAGTAAAAAAAAACATGCAAAGTAAACAAAGACTGTAAATCTTTAAAAATATAGTTGTAAGTTATGAAAATCATTAGAGTACAAAATTTAAGTTCATAACGTCATGAAACTGTTTACTGATTATATCTATTAATTCTAAAGCCAATATTAAAGCCATTGTATTGTACTTGGTTTTAGTTTCCCACCAGAAGTGGCATCCAATTTTTTTTCGACCCCATCTAGCCTGATTCCCATATTTGCTACTGAATGTGCTGTAGGAGGGGGGTGACAAGGGTCATGCTGGGAAGGGCAGGGGTCCCCACATCATCTTCTGTGTCCGACACAGTAATTGGTTGCACTTGTGACCTGGGGGGCTCCATGTGTGTTGTGGGGAGAAAGTGGCCCATGGTCTAGTCTACACAGCCACGGGCTGATGTCTCTATTTATTACTATCAAACAGTGCTGTATTTACCTAGCCTGAAACTGTCAAGTTGAGGATAGAGATATACTGTATCTATGGTGGTTGCAAGGTTGTCTTGTGGTTTATAGGGTTGTATATCTAAAAGTTCTGGGTTCGAATCTGTAGCAGTTTCCAGTGTTGTACCATTGGGAAAGGTAGTTCACACGTATTTCCTCACTTTACTCAGGTAAAGTACCTAGCTTCAGTTAGGGAATTCATTAATTCAATATTCCCAATTAAGTAATGAAATGAAAGACAGCACATCATTGCATAAATTAGTTGAGATAATCCCTGCACATTGCCTAAAATAAATTAATGATAATTCGTAAATTTCTCATAGACAAAATAAAGGTTTTAGGTGCGCAACAATCAAAAGTACATGTATGTGAAACAATACATTTACCTGTACCCACTGTACACATATGCCTTGTAGTAACAGTTTGCCAATATTCTTGAATGCAGAAACAAACCAAAACACCCTTCATAAGATAACAGGACCATTAAAACTCTTCTCAATACAGTGTAAGTCAGCCTTTTAGATAAAGAGTTATCTGGCTGCCCCATGTTAGTGTCGGGGCCTGTGTAGTTTTTTGTGCTGTATATCTGGACTATCTTGCTGTGCTTCCTTCCTTCCTGACTTAACAAACAATAAGGTCTGACCCTGAGGGAACTACAGAACTTTACTGTACAGTAGGCTGTTGGCCAAAGTTTTCACAATTATTTACAATCGTTAAAAAATAATTAGTACCGGAAACTGACATACAATGTACATGTAATTTCAACACGGGTTTAGTGACTTCAAATGAAGTATTTTACCTCATATTCAGCATTCGTAAATGTTAAGAATTATTGTCTTTTACAGTTTAATAAGTCAATTTGTATAAGTCAATTTACTTCTGAGTATGGAAGTACATGACATTGTGTATTGTTTTGGGTGGCTGACTTGTGAGTTCTATTGTTTCCCTTCCATGTAGCACTTGTTGAATGGTGTAATACCCATAGAATACTACAGCATGTATTCCGTATTGCCCGAGCTATCAGCCCAACCGCGGGTCGGATCGCCCGAAGGCCAGAGGAAGATCCGATCCGTGGGAGGGCTGGGACCAATAGGGTGATGCGGAATACACCATTATTTATGCCATACCCACCTGAAAAACCAGACATTTCAATGCGAAATGTGCCCAAATTTGGTGTATCTAAACAAAAATTGTAATGGCGTCAATTCCAACATCCGAATTCTGTGTTCAAAGTTTCGAAAGCAGCACGCGCATTCGAATTTTTCTATGGAACATTTGGAAGCACTTGTGATACCAAAAGAGAACCCTTTGCCGTACCGCTAGTTATCACACAGGCCAGAACACCTGTAATGTGCTGTATCGAACGTTATCGCAGCCCAGGTATGACATAAACGATGAAATTACATAATATCCACAGTTCCAATACCTGAAAACCCAGAAGTCTGAACTCTCTGATGTGTTGTTTCCCCAGGGATCATCAGGGGGAGGAGCTGTAAGAAGTGGTGTGGGGAGAAAACAGCTCCCTCCCGTCCCCCCAGGGGCAGGGGCACCAGACACCACCACCCCCAGGGCAGCGGACAGAAGGTCGGCCCAGGACTCACCCCCAAATGGCATCCCCCAGTCCTACGGACCTTTCTTCTTGGAATACTCACTTATGGCAGAATAGTAAGTTTTTATGCAAAAAAGTGTTGTCTAAAAGTGCCCTTCTGTTTAGAAAATTTGGAAAGTGGTAATTAATAATACGTAATGGTAAGTGGGAAAATTTGCCATTGTACATCCAGCAAGAAATTAAGATATTGGGCTTAGAATTGACAACATTTTCTGAATTTCCAGGATTTTTCTAAGCTTTACAGTGACCAGTCAGTTTGATATGTGTCTGAAAACCATTATATAATCATAGACCCTTTGCTTATGTGTGTTTAGATATTGGCAGACAGACTGAATTCTTCCTGTTTTCCCTTGCAGTAATTTGTTGCAGAGACAGAGAATACCAGGGATTTATGTCATCCCATCTGCCAAGTCACCGCTCTGTAAGTATTGATGTTTTATTGTTTTATGGTGTCCTTATACACATTGCATTAGTCATTGCATTATTAAAAGCTGAAATTGCTGGTATTAACCTCTGGAAGAAGAAGAAACCTCTGGACCTAAAATAAGAACTGGAACACTTCTCCTCTCCATTCTCCAAACTGATCAAATGATTTTTCAAACAAATAAACATCAAACATGGCTAAAGGAAATTCTCTAAATCAGCTGACGAAATCAGCATCCACTGTTTGGCATATATCTGTATAGCATGACCCAAATTAAATTGTATGATCACATCATCATGCAGTGTAAGGGAAAACACAGTAGAGCCCAGAAGAGGGTTCTTTTTCCTCTGATGAATAATTATGTACGTGGGACTGTCCTTGCCCTTGGTCATGCAGGTTGTAATGTTACCAAAGGTCAGACTCAACATGTGGAAATTGTTTGATTCACACCACAATTTTGCACTTGTTTTCTGTTTCATGTCACAGGAGGATAGGGGTGTTGTAGATCTTGTTCTAAAACTGCCTACCTAAAATTTAACATTTGGTTCAGGGACTGAAGTAGGAGGGCCTGCATGGGGGAGTCCCCGATAATGCTCTACACTAAATTTACGCTGAATTCAGGAAGCCTCCCCAGTACGTTTTACGATAAATTCCAGGTAGCTACAATGCATTACGTAGAATCAAAACAGTGAATTCCGCTCTATGCAAATTTTGCCAATTATACTCTACGTTGAATTAGAGTGGTCCATCTACACTCTACGTAGAATTAAAATGGCCGATTATGCTCTTCGGAAAAGGGTATGCGGGCCCCCAAGTAGTTAAGTACCAAAACATTGACATTCAGTATTTTTGCCTTTTAAAAGTTTTATATAGCAGATATTTGAAGTATTGTACCAGCACCCTATAGGCAGTCCTAGTGGTAGTTATCTGTTTAGACTGGGGATGTCAGTTAGGACCTGGAGGTCAAAGTGATTTTGTCCACAGGTCAGGTTCTAACTAGGTAATGTGGAACATCCCAAAGACCTTTAACCTTCTCCCTACTGCCTAACCCTGTAACCCATACAAATATGGCGCCAAATAGCTATCATAGTAGGCTGAAGGTTAACGAAGGGTCATCACTTTATGGGTCACCACATTATGGGTCACTTCATTATTAGTAAGACATACCTTGATGAATTTTCAATATGAAACATATGCTGGTCAGTACTCATTGACCAATGTCAAAGAGTTCCTGGCCAAAGCCATGTGTTATGATCAAAATTTGAATGTGCCAGGTAGATACATATAAGAAAATACCTTGCACAGGTCCAATTTTATCTGCACTGAACATACACAATTCAGTAGGTCGTATATGTACATGTAGGTCCTAGAGACCATAAGATAAGGAAAAGCATACTGTTAATTGTCACTAGAACTTCTGTAGAAGTAAAAAAAAAGAGCTGAAAAATAAAGCAGGGTAGGCAGTGTCATGCCCGTAGCCACAAGGCTCAAAGGTCTACTTTTTGGTTGACTTTTTATCTAAAGATCTAAGATTTTTCTTTAAAAGATTTTCTGATTCGTATCACCAGTGGGGCTGGAATCGTAGAAAAACTGCTCATTAGAATTCTATCGTTGAATAAAAAGTTATCTTTGATTTTTTTTCTCTTTGAAATCCTCTCAAAAACGCAGGAAATGCAATTTCAGAAGGTTCATTTTTCAAAATTTTCAGGGGGAGCATGCTCCCGGACCCCCCTAGGAACCTTGCTCACTGGTCGCCTCAAGCAGTGGGAAGAACCCCCCATTCAAAATCCTGGCTACGGGCACGAATGTTTTATACAAACACAAAAGGGATTTACCAAGTATGTTGTGTTTTCTTGTCCCCATGCAGTCTGGTTTGGTGTGGTGTTTGTGAGACAAGGTCTGTTCCAGGAGGGAGTCTTCAAGTTCTATGTCATCGTACCAGACAACTACCCAGACGGGGACTGTCCTGTAAGTTATACATGTCACTGCCCTACTACATCAATGTATTGCATATCCACTTTATCTAGAGATAGTAAGTTAGATAAGTAGATTGTAGAACTTCATGTTAGCATAAAGTTTTATATCACTACATTCTGTACTGATTGTTCTTGTCAGTATTTGCAATTAGCCCCCGGGCATGAACTTGTTATAAAGTACTCATCATTTAATAGAATTATGGTTTGTTTGGTGTATAACAAAAACACCACCTCTTGTTGGCAGCCAAACAGCTGAATTATGAGGTATCAAAATGCCAGTATGAATCAGTTAATTTCTTAGAAAAATCGAATGTTGACATGGGAAGATGTCATTGTTTAGTAGTGATACAGTAGAGTGAAATTTCCTACTCACATCTGTGCATGTCATTTTCTTTCAAATACAGGAACATGCATCTCAAATGCAGTAGCATTCCACCTACACAAATGTATTACCGGTAACGAATATGTGTTTTATTTCTGACAGAGAGTGATTTTCGACCCTCCCATCTTCCACCCTGTGGTGGACATAGAGACAGGAGAGTTAGATGTCAAGAGGGGTTTCACAAAATGGAGGTAAGGGGCACTACATTGACTTCCTTACTGTGACTAAGTTTGTTTTTCTAAAGTTGTTGTAGTCATGTGATATGCTCCTCAATTTACCATTGGGGTTGCCAACCCTCCTAAATTAAGTTAATCTTTGCTAGGTACCCCCATGTAGACCCTCATAAATGTGGAAGATTCATGACAGCAAAGTTGTTTTCCTCACTTCCCTACAGGCGGAACGTCAATCACATCTGGCAAGTGCTGCTGTATGTAAGAAGAATTTTCTACAAGATAGACACAAAAAATCCACTCAACCCAGAGGCTGCTGTGCTGTGAGTATCTCTAATCTCTTGAGTCACAATCATCATATACTGTAAGTTTCTTTAGATTCGCGGGGCCTAAAGTTCGCGGTTTTGGGAAAATGGACAATCCGCGGTATTTTTAGATTAGCGATTTCCCCTTGGCTATTCAAAGAAGAACTTGTAAAGTGCATATTTAAAAATGATAAAAGTTTGTGTTCAGGCATTCATCTCCTAAAACGCGGCGCAAAAGTTTTTTTTTGTGCACCACGCGAGACTGCCGGCATGTTCTGTCAGTGTGCAAATCTTGCATCACGCGTTCGTGTCCGCGCTACGCGTCTCTGATAGGTTGTTGCGTCAGTGCCGGTGGTAAAGCTTGATGGATCTGATGTGCATGTAAAGAATTTTTTTTGTTCAGAAATAAGGCTAAAACGCTATTTTCCATGACTGCACATCGATACTTTTGTGAAGAAATGCATGATTAAAAGAATCTTTTGGGAAAATATATATTCCAAAGCAAATTTACGCCATCTTCGGCGAGATTCTGTCATTCGAATCGAACCCGGAAATATGCAAAGGCAGCCTTTTATGGTGAAATATCTGATGTTTGCAGGGTTGGGCAGAAGGAAATGGGTTAAATGTTTAAGTGATACTGACGATTATGATTTTACTAAAGTTTTACTGTGGTTTACCTAGGTATGACAAAGAACTTGACGTGTTCAGGAGAAAAGTCACTGAGACAATCCGCAAGTGTAACGAGCACATTTACGATCCGCCTACAACAGACGACCCACATGCAATCAGGTAATGTTTGCTTCCAGCTTATACTATCTCTTGATTGATAGCAACAATGTCACAAGTGTGCCATCTAGCTGTTTGTGTAAGAACTGCAGGAAATTGGTTACAGTATTCTGCAGCAGCGCAAAGATCTCTACAGCTGCACAGTGTGCACTAAAACACTTTAAGTAGTTTTACATTGTACAATTCTGATACAGTATGTGTAACATGCTTCTTGGGTAAAATATGCCCAAACAGCTAATCTTATTTCTAGTACATGTGTGTGTATTTTCATTGACTTTTATTGTGTCTGACATTTAGCCTGGTTCTCGATCTATTAAAAAATTTTTTTTTAATGTTTCTTTGCAGATTTACCAGATGGGACCCTTCCCTTCATGAGGAGGCAAAGAAACAAGTCCTGAGTCCAAAGGTAACAAATCTAAAGCTGTCGTGAAATGCATGTTCACAATTTGTAACAACATAGCTTTTCAGTCCCAGCTATCATACAGTTAACTGTGTCATCTACTAAAATACTGTAAAAATTTTAAGGTTGGAACGTAATCTCTGCTGACAGTCCTGTTGTCGGGAAATACTACTTTCTTTGATTATAAAGTTTAGTAGTATAGTCAGTCCGTTGGGCAGTTTTAGTGTTAAAACGATGCAGTCCATTGATGAGCTTTTTGGTCAGTCAAACTTACAGGAATGGTAGGTAGCCTCTTCTTCTATATTACTGGTCACTTTGAATTTGGAAAGACACCGAGAAGTTGGAAAACTTGTTCACTTTGATGGTATCAAAGAGAAATATTCTTGTTAACCTTTAGTACACTGAAGTAGTCATTTGGCTTCCAACTCTCTGTTGGTTACGGGGTTAGGCAGCAAGGCTAAAATGTGATTATGGAAGACACCATGATATTGAAGAGAACATATTTCTTGAATTGAAATGTGAATTTTTCCAAGGCTTAAGACTGATAGCGTTTTCCAAATTTGCCGTGCCTCTCCATGTTTAACCTTCTCCCTGCTGCCTTACCTGGTAACCAATGCAAATTTGGTGCCAAATGGCTACCTTAGCAGGCTGAAGGTTAAAGTGACCAGTGTTTTCTGCATGTTGTGAGTGTTACATCCCTGCACTGCCTCCTTACCTCCAGTCTCTTTCTCTGCATGTTTGTAAGGAATGGTAAAGATTGTGATGTAGAGTCCCTCTGCTGCTGCCACCAAGCTTCAGACAACCCCAGTTAAAACTCACCATGCAACACTAAAAGAAAAGAGTATCCAACTCAACCATGTTCAGGAATACAGTAATACTATTAACCTACTTCTTACCCATTAAATTAGGACAACAGGGTGTGATGTGCTATTTCTGCATACCAGCGCATGTACTGTACATTGTACATACAAATTTTATCTTCACCTCTCAAAAGCATTGATCACACTTCAAACTATTCAGAAAGCATTGTCATCATTTCTTTTGCACTTGATGTGGTGGTAACACTAACAGTCAATGTGTAAAAAAAAGTACACGGACCAGTGCAGGTTAGATTCGAGTAGACATCAGAAAAAACAATTTTACTTGTACCAACCTGCATACTGCAGGTGTTATTTTGAGCCCTGTACAAGCCCTCATGCTGAAAGACCTGTTTAGCTTCAAGTAATATTTTGGTCCATGATTATTGCAAGATGTCTTAGCTTGTGGCAGCTGCAGTGTGAACCTAGTTGTTGTTCGGTTCTGATGGGTGCCTTCCTGTTCCTTCAAGAACCTTAATTCGGGGCCGGACATGGACGACTCCCCGACCGGAGTCAGCAGCAGAGAAACCAAAAGCCAAGGGTAAACTTGGCTCCGTTGTACATGTATGAATATATAAAACACACAAGGACAAATCATTGAGTACCAGTCACATCTCTGTAACAAGGCCACGAGTCCTGGCATTCTTTTACGGACTTCACAACAGCTTTGGAAATATACATTTTCTTACAGGTCAACATGGAGTGAGTGAAATGTGTTTTGCCACCCCACCGTCTCTGTGCTTAAAAATGTTAGTTCATGCACGGATCCAAATTTTCTGAAAAAAACAACAACACAAATATCTCAGTCATATGAAAAAAATAGACGTGTCCCTGTCTAAATTTAATAGAAGTCCAACTGTCTGTGTGTGCAAGAATCCTGCCAATCTGCCAATATTGAATGCTGTTGAACAGTTGTGTGGTTTGGGCATAGTCAAAATGAAGACTTAGCTGTACCTTTGAATTATAGCTTGAGCAATAGTAGTTAGTACCACAATGGATAGTAGAACAAACATTTTGCAGTGTGTTGAGTTTGTGGTGGCACCATGAACATAAAAACACTGCAGTGAATTTCCAAATTTACAGTACATTAGAACGAGAAGCTCAACCTTCTTCCCTTCCAGATCACTCCCTCCTCCTGTCAAATTCCCTTCTGTTCTGATTCCCACCATTTCCAGTCATGCATTGTGTGGTGTGGAGATGACATTTACAGCATGCAGAAAGTTGAACATGCACTCTTACTAGAGCTTCCCCAGAAGACCTTTTACACCATGATCTGAAATACGTCTCCAATGGACTGAAGTCAACTTGCATTGCTATCGATGTTGCCTTGAGAATGAAAAAAACCTTCTCATTTTGTGAGTAGTTTTAGTCTGAAATCCATTCAGTTTTTGCTCCAAGTCACTTCTCAGATTGCTTGCCCATCCATGTTCAAACATTTTGCCTTTATGAAGAAAATTAAACTGTTCTCCAAAAAAGAAAATAACTCACCAGAAATTTTCGACTGAATTGTTCAGTCTTCATCAGCTTTATGACCCAAGTGCTGTGGACACGTGACTTTTAGCCACGTGTGAGGTCATCACTGGGTCAAAGTTTGAAGTTATTTTGATGTTATTTTGCCTTTATGTCAATATTTCTCTCATGCATTGTAACTGGGACTGAACTTAATAACCCTTGTTCAACCCTCTTACCATGCTGTTACAGAGAACCTTACAAGCCAGGCAGATCTTCTCTTGCTTGTGTTTTATTGAAATATTCAAATGCCAGTTGATCCTCTGTTGTGCCAGACTATTGGCAGGCAAAAAAAAAGAGAGATGGAGCAAGAGTGGATGGACACTAGGCTATGAAGTCGAAGCATTGGAAGTGCAACTCTGTCTGTTGTGAGACGGCTTGAGAGCATTGTGTAACAGTTCTCAGTAGGCCCCGAAACTTGCCAGATGACCCTTGGTTTTTGTGAGATTGATCAGATGACTGCCAATAATTTGTCTTTGCCTGTAACACTGCATGGTGCATGGTGTAAAGGCAGTACCATGAGCTAGTTAGTGGTAGTGCTAAAGAACATAACATGCATGCTTACTTTTACAGCGTTTCATTGTATGCCGCAGAAGTGGTGTTGGGAAGGTGTGCAACAAGCACTAGTCGAGTGCTGCAACTGCAGCAAACTGGCACGTCACACATGGCTATGCAACTTGTGAATGGGTGCCACCTAGTGATAGGAGTAAAAACTGCATGCAGGCACCTTTCCTTCCCACTTCCAGCTTCTCTTCATATGATTGAGCAACATGAAACATTGAATGTAAAATACGGCTGTCTAGTCCCAATCTTATGTAACCGTTATTAACTCGACCCAAAGAGCGTACCAATTCTCTAATCACTGACTGGCTACGGATATATCTGACACTCAAGCCAGGCCAACTTCTCTAACCACCTTTTCTGTCATGTTTCTGCTGTCTCTGTTCCACAGAAGCGATCCGAGAGCGAGACTAAGAATGCCCAGACCTCAGGCCTGTCCTGGGTCAAGCCAGGCTCCACTAAAGCCTTCAGCCGACAGGAAGCCTCGTCTTAGCGAGGCGCGGAAGGTCAAGGAGACGACGTCGGGCAGCCTGGTGATCACGACACTGACCAGAGACGTGGCGGACACGTAGATAGGGTAGAGAAACGATGTATAGACAGTCAAAGTTGAAAGCGTGGAGGAAGGAAAGAAAGCGGTTTACCTGATGGTGTGTTAGAAATGACTGAAGCCCCTTTGTGAAAGTTATTTTAGAGAAATAGACCTTTGTTTGCAGTCCTCTCTAGGCCTGTTTCAACTGTGACTTCAACACACAGCAACGTCTTGAAAGTTCATCTGTGTTGGTACAAATCATTATGAAGCAAGTTTAAACTGCAATTTCCAACACAACAAATTGGACACACCCAAATTTTCGACTGTACAACTCCAGTCCTTGTCAAGGAATGAGCAATCCACCGCTTCCGTGACGTCACGCAGATAACACACGTGACTCCGTGAGCAGCGGATCATAGGTTGCAGAAATTTGGGTGAGTCCAATTTGTTGTGTTGGAAATTGCAGTTTAAACACAGCAACATCATTTTTGTCAGTACCATCTTTGAAAAATAAGGGCTGGTCCATTTCAGCGGGACAACTTTTAAAGAATTCCCTTTTTCAACCTGTATACCACATCCTGTTACACCTCCATGTCAGACTATCCCTACTCAGAATTTGAAATGGTATAACCCAAAGTGAACCGCAATAGGTATCCACCAGTATATGTGTAGAGGTCATTATGTTAACAGACACAAACTGGAGAACTGCAAAACAAGGCTATTCGGTGTACTTACAAATAGGGGCAACTCTAGGATAGGTATCAGAGAATGAAGGAAATTGAAGTGGATGACTTTTTTGGCCACATCTTTTAACATAATAATATGCTGCAGCTTTATGGAATGGAACGATGATTGCTACAGGTAGATATAAAGCTAAAGACAGGTTGAAGAGAAGAAGTTGTGGCCCAGCATACAGGTGGTATGGATGTGCAGTAAAGGTATGAAGATGTGCAGTACCTGGTCATTGAATTCTGTTTGTGAAGAATTGATGGAAGAAGAAAAAATGGTGCATTTTACCAGCAGTGGAAACTGGAAACATTGAAGAACTAATATTAATAACTCCTGCACACACAGAGGCAGGGTATGGGCTCTGAGAGCTCACCATTCATTAAACATAAAGAAATAAACAATAAAAAAAATATACATGTATGTAAACATATATAGATTGATGCCATTGTTTTGGTAAGATTTGTTAAGTACAATAAGAATGACCTGATGTGTTTTTGGTTCTAATGTTATGGAACAGTTTGTGGAAACAGTTTGGGTTGTGCTATGACATATATGATATTATTTCCATTGCTAAAAAGTCTCATACAACCAACATTGTACACAAGCAATAACCTGAAGAAGAAATGGCCAAGTTTACAAAACTGCCATCACTCAAGACGTAATTCTAAGTGCAAGCCTTTCATATATAGAGAGATTAGTGTGTGTTACCACTATAGAAGTAAGTTGTTAACATAGAAAAAATATCATTCCTATTAAACATGACTGTCTTTAGATTCTAGAATATTTGGATAGAATTGTATGGGGAAATCTAAAGTACTGCTGCTGCCAAAAATAACCACAGAACACCAGAACATCCTAGGCAACTTCTTCCCATCAAAGAAAACTTCATCAAATAATTCACAAAAACAATCCTAGACTGTGGCAGTTTTACTTTGATATTCTTTCATTGTTTCTGATAACAGAGGTTAATACAGCCAGGGTGCCATCCTTGTTAGTTAAGGCTTGCTCCTAAGCTAAGTCAGAACATGGTGGCATGTGCAAGAATGAGTGTCTGAAAAAACAAACTTAAAAGAAGACAGTAGAATCTATCTAAAACTTACAAAGAGGAATAAGCCCTGTTTTGGATGTTGCCATATGGAGAACATCACACAGATCTAATACTGTACCCTTGAAAACACACTTGCAATGAAGCTGAGTTACTGCATATAACTTCAATCTTGTTTAGGCTCATCATTCCATGTTGAAACTTACAGAAAACGTTCATGAATGATTTGAATTGTTGTGGCCATCTTTGGCACACTTTCTCCAGTGATTGTAGGGTTTTAAAAAAAGTGTCAAGAGATAGTGTCATTGTCTTTAGTACATGCCAAAGCACACCACTTTAAGCACAATGTATAATAAAAGGTTTCACATATATTTCTTATAATACCAATCTGTCATTGTAAATAACATGAAAATTATTTAAAGTGATTTTAAAAATGCTCACGGGTGTATGGAGAGTACCGCCATGCTTTAGATATTGAAAATGAATTTTTGTAACCTATTTTTATTGGGCTTGTTGTGTAGCCATTTGTAAATGTTGCATGCTGTCAGCCATTATTTAATTGTATTTATGCCACTGATGCTTCTTTACTATTACAATTTGTGACTCTATGTACTGATGTTAGGTTTTATCATGTGTATAGTATGCATTGTATGCTGGAAATTTGAAGACACTGATAGTTTGGAAAGTCTTTTTAATTATCAAGGTTACAATATCTCTATCAATTTTACGACAGCAATAAATATACCATAATACAGAGAGGTACAATATACTCTTTCAGTTGACATGTAAAACATGTACCTTCAATATCAAGATTTCTGCCATGTATTTAAGTTAATAGATTTTCCAAACTGAGAGTGTCTTTTCTAAGTCTTAATATATGGCCTGTGTTATTGTAACTTTTAAGTAGTGTGTTAGGCTTTGGGTGGCAATGTCTTGAGGGTAATTTGTTGAATTTGCTGTTTTTAATGGCACTTCTGAGACTAAAAAATTAATAAATGAACTGCTTTACATAACCTTTCAATATATTACCTCATAAAGTGATTGACTTGAATAACTATGCTTTTTGGCAGGGTTGAATATAGAAATAGCCTTGCCTCTTGTAGAGGTAGTTATGGTACTATAGAAGGGATGTGTAAGTTTGAGCAATGCAATGTTTTATCAAGAAGATCCTTTTTAACTCCTTGGCTGCCTTTGGAAGGTTAGTTTGTTTCAGAAGGTGCACAGGGCAGGTATGTTGTGAAATAAGTGAGATAAGTGAAAGTAACAGACATGAGGAAGAGTAGAGTGCCTTTCCTGAGAAATTGAGGCTTGTTTTAAGGCTACTTTTATGCATTGTATCACAATAAATATTTTCAATTAAAAATATGGTGTTTCTTAAAATTGTGTCCTGTGCTGCTTTGTTTTGATATGTTGATAGAAATTTAATTGAGAGATTTATAGTTTGTAAAGTGTGGTGAGCTCTTGAACCTCCCTATATCCGTTAGGAATCAAATTTGCAATTTTGGTTCTCCTCAAACACAGGACCTTGAGAGGTCAACCACAATCAAAGCTAGGTGCCACACCAATTTAATTTGTTGCTTCTCGGATTTTTTCAGAAAAAATATGAAGCGATGGAGAAATAAGAAGAAAAAAAAACAGGCCAAGGCACCCCGTGATAGCCGGAAATGTTACAATATGAGCTAAAAGTCAACATACTTGGCTGGTTTATAATTAAAACAATATATTTTGAACTTTGAATGAAACAAAGTTGCATTGTTACATTGAAAAACTTTAACAGCTAGGAAGAACAGGACTTTCTTCAACTGTTCAAGCCAAAATATGTCTTTTATTGTGCATTTTGCAGTTGATGTAGAACCTAAAAAAAATTTTTTTTTGCAAATCAGAAAAAAATGGACAGGGCAAATCTTAGAAACAACAAATTAAATTGGCGTGGCCTTCCCATATGCACAACATTGGGACCTGCTTGGGAATCAAACTCAGGACCCTTACATTCTGAATCAACAACCCCAGCCTGTCGACCAAATCAATAAGAACCACAGCACTCCAAACACAGTTCACAAATGCATTTATTACACCAGAGTTTGCAACTTGCATGAATTTTTTGAAACCTTGCATCACGACCTTGAACTAAAGTAATTTACAGTTAGCACAGCTCTCATCATAGAAGGAAACCAAAAAAAAAGTTGATTGCATGATCATGGTGCTTGTATTTTGTAACAGAATTAGTTTTTAACTGAAAGTTGTTTAGGGATCCTGTCCAATTTCTACTAGAGAATTAGCTGCAGATATTTGAAGCGGTGCCTCTAAAGTGTCATCTAGCCTCAAACGTCTGGCTTGTCGAAACACTTTTCCGTCAAGTTGCTCTCAGTTCCTTTTTCTCTTCATCCGTCATGAGTTCCCACAGTTCGTTGGTTAGCGGGACCTCCTGCCCTTTCCACGTAAACGCCACCGGCGGGGCGTACTCCCCCTCCTCTCCGAACTTGAAGTCTCTGCTCAGCTCTATAGCCAGGCTGGACTTGACCAGCCCCACCCCTCCAACCTTCTCTGGTGCCGGGTGGTACACGCGCCCGCTACGTGGCAACATACACAGTTTGTCCGGGTGAAAAGGAAATGTGAGCTTGTCCCCTCCACCGTTGTACGACAACACGGGCCCCTCGGTGTCATCCGTCGGTTCCAGGATGTGGGAGAAGACGATAGGACGGTCGTCGCAGCGTACGAAGTTTCGCTCTCGACCACAAGGCGAGAGATACGGGAAGTCCTCCGAGTACCTGGTCATGTCGTTCATCTTCAGTCTCTTGAAGAAGAATTCCAGGAACTTCTTCTCTGTAGGGTGAGAGGGAGGATGAAAGAAGGGGTTTGATTTGAAAGAGAGGTAGGTTTATCAGGTAAGGCCACACCGACTTAACTTTACGGATGACAGCCTCTGAAGACACTCCAAACTAGTGCGCGAGGGCAAATAAAAAAAAATAAAAAAAATAAAAATACTACTAAACCACAGGAATACAAAGCTGGTTTTGTGAATTTGCGGCAGTTCATAGCGACGTAGGTAACGCAACGTATATGACAAGCCGGCACATGCTAGCTTTTTGTGAATTTATGAATCAGCACTGTTGGTATGTACTGAGTTCTTGAGTCATGGAGCTTCGGTAGTCTGGGTGCCATCCTCTAGAGTTACAACTGGCTGCCGTATACTACCCAGGCCTAGAGCCAGGTCAGAGCCTCGGAGGACGTGATCTTTTTTTTTTTTTTTTTTTTTGAGAACAGACAAAAATCATGTGCGTGGAGCTGTCATCCATAAAATTAAGTCAGTGTGGCCTAAACGACCAAAGAATTGGGGACCATCTCAGAGCTTTGCTTACCTTTGAAACAGGTGATGAAATTCTTGACTCTGGTGTCGTCCATGAACAACTGCAGTAAAATTTAAAAAAAAAGGATGTTACAAAATGATTAACAAAAGGAGTAAGAAGCTGTGAAACTTTTACTGGAGTTGAAAATGGGTCCTTAACAAATAGACGAATCACAAGAAAATCAGTTCAAAGCCATATGATGATTGAAAGGGGATGGGCTCTCTTTGATACCTGTCCCTGGTGGTCGATGTAGTAGAAATACTCCCGAACTTTTGGTTCCGGTGCCTGTCCCTGTACATAACTCAGCGCACGAGACGCTCTTCTGAACACTTGCACGCTAGAACGTCTGATTATGCACCACATAGTTGTTTTTATGGCTTTCTGTCTTCAAAATTCGTGAAAACACATCCAACAGACGACACCCACTTGCGCAACTAAACATTTGTGACCTATGACCTACAAAACCGGAAGTCGAAATCCACACCGGAAGTACACCTGTCGGCATTGCATGACGGGATATATTCTGCTTGGCGCTCTCGCAACTTCGGGTTGAAAGAGTTCAAATTTTTCTTGATAATCCACATCATTTTGCAACATTTCAGACCAGAGTAGATATTAGCTAGTCTGATTTGACATTCCAGGGACTGCTGCTGAAATTACACACTTCTGAAGCGCGAAAAAATGCGCGCCTACGCACTGGAAACTTGAAAGGAAGTCTAGGTAACGATACAACAAATTTGTCAAGATGGCGGCCACCAAACGAGCATGGAAGTTACGTGAGTAAAAAAACCTTTCAAAACCTCCGTTTCAAGACTTACTATGTTGTTCTCAAAGATATCAAGTGTGCTCGGGAGATGTGGGTTCTGTACCCTCGTTTCACGCCGAGTTTCTGCACATTTTCGATTGTTTACCGTTCGTTTTACGTGTAAGACATATAATTTTCTTTGGTTGTCAGACAGTGGTGACAGTCACTGACAGGAAAATTCCTACGCAAAAAAATACCGGTACTTCCAAATCAAACCTCGATAGCGAGCAGGTAGGGACGAAGAAAATTTGAAGAGGTTTTTGTGACTTGGAAACTTAAGTCAACAAGAGCTAGTGTGTCAAGAAAAATGGGAGTAAAATTGGTGGAGAAACTTGGACGGTATTCTTTACTTTTTGAGAATTTGACGTGTGAAAAATTACCAGGAGACTGTCATTATTTGTCTGCAATTGCACACAATTATGGTAGAATTTTCAAGTTTTTGCACTTTGGAGGAGAGATAGTGCCATTTTCACATAATGTGTTTCACTGGAAATTATGTAGATTGATAATGTGTGTACACATGTGTGTACATTTTTGATGGCCTGAATATTACAGTGTCCCTACCTAGATAAGTTTCATTGATCAAAATACAGATGTTACTCTTTCCAAATTAAGGATGATTGTATGAAGACTGTTACTTGTACCGCTTATATAACAGGGCAATCAGAGGTGGCAGGTATATTTAACTCTTGCCTCACTTCCCTCATTCCTCGCTGCTTTGGGACCCTTAAAGTCAGGGGAGTCAGAGTATACAGTGCGATTTTACGGAACACAGTGCAATTTTACGGAATACAGTGCGATTTTACGGAATACAGTGCAATTTTACAGAATACAGTGCAATTTTACAGAATACAGTGCAATTTTACTAGTGTACAGTGCAATTTTACAGAATACAGTTCAATCATGTTAGTATATGTGCAATTTTACTAGTATACAGTGTAAAATTGCACTGTATACTAATACGATTGCACTGTATTCCATAAAATTGCACTGTATACTAATACTACTGTAATTCCTGATTTGTTCACTGTACTGATAAGTTCACTGTTTTCACTGTTGCTTCTGCACAGTGAACTTATCATTACAGTTAACAAATAATTCCTGGACTTTCTGCTTCCTACAGCTGTCGCCACCGTGAACATATAGTTACGTGAACATGTCCATTTTTCTCAGACCGTGAAATTTTGCTACCGTGAACATAAAGTGAATTACAGTATTGTACTGTTACAGTTCCGTGAAATTGCGTTGTACACTCTGGCACCCCTGAAATTCCGACAAACAAAATCAGAGATTGCATTTACTTAAAACATAGACAGAAACAAACACAGACACCCCAAGAATAAATTATGATTCACACCCTTGGGTCAACGTGCTCAAAAGTGACACAGACCATATATTTTCATTTCTTACCATTGGTAGCTGCCAAATTATTGTCATGTGAGCGTAAGAGCATTAGCCTTTATTAGGTAATATTAGTAACTGACATTTTAACATTGGGGTACAAAACATTTATTTCATATGACCCCAAAAAGGCCATGATAAAAATGACTATTGTTTTGCATTATTATGTACCCTACCATCTGTTGCCACCCCTAGGGAGTAAATCACATACTTTTGCTATTGTGTCACCATTCACCATGCTATCTCTGGTCCTAATGAAACCCCTTGGTACAAGACAGGTTATGCAAATTTATTACAAGAACATAAAATGTCACCATGGACCTCCATGATGTCACAAGTATGTTTTCCACAGTTTACCAATTAGTACTAGGACGTAAAATCAAACACACGGAATCCTATATATATGCATACGTACATGTATTTTCCTTTTTCCCAGCTTTTAAGTTTTTGGTACCACATTTGCATTGATTATGTGGTCAACTACATAACCATTGAATATGTGAAGGAAATGTTAGCTGTAGTATAAAAAGGTATGTCAAAAGTTCTGTGTTTGTGTATGTGTGCAGAAAAGCTCACAGAAAACAGTTTTGTACGGACTGTATGATTTATGAAAATGAGATATTCCTACCATGATTAAGCTGTATAACTCACAATAAAACTTTCATTAATACAGATCATGTGCAAGAGTCTTTTACATTTAGTTACAAACCAGGATTAATTTGTGTTGTTGGTTTGCCTACATAATTGCCTTGTTGTAATCAGTGATATCTCCATATTTTTGCAGAGGAATTTGTGGCCCATGGGTCCAACGTGAACTGCCTGGCCCTGGGGTACAAGTCAGGCCGGGTCATGGTCACAGGAGGGGAGGACAAAAAGGTCAACATGTGGGCAGTGGGCAAGCCCAACTGTATCATGGTGGGTCACTTCCGACTTCTTCATATATAATATTATATATATCATGCTTGAATGATCATGCTTAGACACACAGAGCTTGCTATACCACATGCAGGGCTCGAAATACTAGGTGCATGTGCATCTTAGTGCACCCAAATTTGGAGCTGTGCACCCATTTTTTCTGTGCACCCAAATATTTTGATAGGTTTACGATTGTAAAGATGTTAAATCATTATTATTATGTATAGTAGTATACAGCATATTCTTAATATCCAAGTGTCAGAAAAATAATTGTTGTAGTACTTTTCATTAGAAATGAAACATTTAATAGTTTTTGCTCCCAAAATAATTTTTGTGCACCCAATTTTTCAGGTTGGGTGCACCAGTGCACCTAGTCCCAAAACTTAATTTCGAACTTGCACCGGTACATGTGTTTGTATACATTAGTAGTGTATATAGATTTTCTGCATTGACTGTTACCATCTAGTATGATGTACAAAAGAAAGAATGACAATGGTTACTAAATTCTGATAGGTACAGATAAAACTTGTCGGGGCTGGTAATTTTCAGTGCTATCTGCACCAGTAGGTAGCATAAATCTGTCATACTCATATACATGGGTCTAAATTGATTCTAATATAATAGAGTTTATTTATTTTTACTTAGCTACTGCATTCTGGTATGGTAGCTAAATCAATTATTCAAGGCTTTCATTTCATTTGAATATTCCCATGTGAACATGTTAGTTTTTGTATTTATTTATGTATTTAATGGTGTTTTTTCTTTTCCCCTGTGTACAGAGCCTGTCCGGACACACCAGCCCAGTGGAGTGTGTGAGGTTTGGGAATGCTGAAGAACTGGTGGTGGCTGGGTCCCAGTCAGGGTCCCTCAAAATCTGGGACCTGGAAGCTGCAAAAAGTAACGTTTTATCTCTTCTTATGCCTTTTGTGACATAAGGCCACACCGACTTAATTTTATGGATGACATCCTCTGAAGACCCCCAAATTAGTGCGTGCTGGCGAATAAAAAAATTGTGGCCAAAAATAAAAATGGTACAATGTACTAAACACAGGAATACAAAGCTGATATTGTGAATTTGCAGCAGTACACGGCGACGTATACGACAAGCCGGCATATGCTGGCTTTCTGCGGAATTTACGAGTCGGCACTTTCCTGAGTTCTTCAGTCGTGGAGCTTCGGTAGCCTGGGTGCCATCCTTTGTAGTTATCACCGGCTCCCTATTGTTGCTAACTACCAGGCCAGAGCCTCCGCGCTGATGTCATCCATAAAATTAAGTCGGTGTGGCCTAATGTTTAAAGTAAAACCACTGTATGAAAAAAATGTGGTTCATTTGTTATAAGTTGATGCTAAAAATATTGTAGGGGGTGCACAAGAAATAAAACTGATAATGCATATCACTAAAATAGATTTGAAAAGACACTAGGAGTTTGAAAAACATAAAGTCAAACCTCTCTCAAGCTATATATCTTGAAAGCTTTCACACACCGCAACAAGTCCAAACAAGGGCTTCAAGTCACGATGTACCATTCTCACGGTCAGTCTTGTGTTCTAAATTTGATTGAGAAAGACCATGTCAAAGATAAGCTTTCTAATACCATCTCTCCCAACACATCCGCACATCCTCCATTCAACCACACTGGCCCCAATACAACCTCATCCAATGTAATCTCCAACACCTTCCCGTTGTTATTGTCAAAACTGACACCGGGTTTCCGTGAACGCGAAGTTCTCCGCTCAACCACACTGGCCCCGCTGCAACCTCATCTTGGTCAATTTGTAGGGATTGGATTGAAAGTGGTGAGGTGAAGACGAGTCATTGATTGGTGTGACATCTCCCTTTCTGTTCACAGTCGTACGGACGCTAACAGGGCACAAGTCCAACATCAGGAGCCTGGATTTCCATCCGTATGGAGAGTTTGTTGCTTCCGGGTCAATGGACACCAATATAAAGGTGTGTACGGCAGATTCCCGTGTTGGCAGCTATGGTGATTGAATGCTAATGCTGACACTGCTTTCTTACAGATTGAACTAGAAACATCCAAGCTCTTTCAGTCTGATTTTTAGATTCTTTCCTTGTAAAATATGGCAATTTACAGGGGAAGGATAGGCAGTACCATAATTTATACATGTAATAATGTAATTTTATTGAATTATTGTACATGATTTTGAAAGTACTGTACATGTAGGCTTAAGTTGTCAGAGGCTTTTTGGAATTTTGCTGTATGTGTTATATAGTGTGGGAATTGGAGAAGAGATTGGGTTCATTTGATACAGTATCCCCTTTTTTTGCTTTTCTAACGTGACAACTTTGGCCTTTTTACCTTTGGGAAATATTAGTAGCTGTCTTTTGTTTGTTGCATTTTACAGATCAGTATGAAAGAAGTTCTGTTCTTTGTGGATACATAATCCATGTATGTATCTTGTTTTACAGTTGTGGGATGTCAGAAGAAAAGGCTGCATCTTTACTTACAAGGTGAGAAAACATTAACGTGCCACTCTCAAAATATTTGTGTTTGTGACTCTACGTTTTATTGTAAACATTGTTTTAAATTTGCGGTTGAAAAAATTTTGTAGTATAGTTATTCCTTGTCACTTTCAGTGTAGAGGTTTATAAAGCCTCTGCAAAAGTTTTAATAAGTTACAGCAAAACATATGGAGGTAAAAATGCCATACTTAATAGTAATACTAGACCAGGAGTACTAGAAGTAACCAAGTGACTACTGTTTTGCCCAGGGCCACACAGATGCTGTAAACTGTATCCGGTTTAGTCCAGATGGGAGGTGGATAGCGTCTGCTGGAGAGGACTCCTCACTCAAGGTGAGTGACAGTGAAACATGCACACTTGTACTTGTAGCAAAATGCTTAGGCACTAGCAATGCCCAAAATACCACATGTACATGCAGGTTAGGCCACGCCAATTTAACTTGTTGGTTCTCGGATTCGCCTCTTAATTTTTTTCTGATTTGAAAAAAAAATTCTGGTTTTGAATCAACTCAAAAATGCTCATATTTTGCTCCCAACAGTTGAAGAAAGTCCGTTTCTTCCTAGTTGATGCAGTTTTTCCATCCATCAATGCAGTGGTTTGATCAAAAGTTCAAAATTCATTGTAGACTGCTACCACCTATGGATTGCACAGAAAATCATTACAACTATTTCTGAACAGTTTTCAGAGTGACGCCTAAAGTTTTAGTGGTAGAGATAAAATTTGTCTGATGTAGGTAAAATTTGTCCAGCACACGTGTAAGTATTTCAAGCCCTGCACCAAGCTTACATTGAAACTGCCCAGTGTTTCAAGCTGCTAAATGTCTGAATAAGACTAAGAGAAGGAAGTCTACTTGTTTTTTTGTTGTTTTCTCCATAGATGTGGGACCTGACGGCAGGGAAGATGATTCAGGAGTTCAAAGATCACACAGGCCCGGTGACTGGGGTGGAGTTCCACCCAAATGAGTTCCTGCTGGCTTCAGGAAGTGCAGACAGGTAGGAAATCCTGACATTGAAACAAAATCTGGGGCACTAAAGAATTAATCTCTAGCACACTCAGGCCTCAAAATTAACCTTTCCTCCTATTGTCCCAGCACTGTCCCAAAAATAAATTTCAATGGTCCCGAAGTGAGGATGAACTGTTTTCTGAGTTCTGTATCTGTATAGCCGGTATAACCGGATTTTGGCGTAACACACCAGCTTCACAGGCACGCGGCGCGGCGGCAGCTGGCTATATTACACCGATCGACTTGTTACACCTAACCCCTGAACTTAACTTGTGACTTACCAGTACTTGTTTTGTTTCTCTGATTTTAGGACTGTGAAATTCTGGGACTTAGAGACATTCCAGTTAGTTTCTTCAACAGGAGCAGCAGAGTCTGGAGCTATTAGGTGGGTACTGCTCAAAATTTGTCTGGACTTCCAGTCTGAACTTTGAGTTCATGCTGACATTGCCATCTTCTCCTAGGACAATCTTTGTTGACTGTTAGAAAGAAACTTTTCAAGAAAGGAATGTATGGAGAATAGTGAGTTAACTAGTTGAGCTAGGTTAAACTGGTAGAATTACTTCACCATTGATATATGATCCACACACCTATAGCTACAGCGAAGGTCAGTGTTAGCTCTTGAAATTAGATTAACATGGCTGCAACATGTGTGGATCACAAGTATAAGCTTAAAGTCTCAAATTATAGTACAATGTAATTGTATTTTCTGGGACCAGGTGTATATTTTTCCACCCTGACGGGAAGTGTCTGTTCGGCGGGAGTCAGGATGCCCTGAGAGTGTTTGCCTGGGAGCCGGGCAGGTGTTTAGATGCCTTCTCCATGGGCTGGGGCAAAGTCGCCGACATTTCTGTGGCATCCTCACAATTGGTAACTAGTTACAGATTACTCATCACTTGTGGTGTCTAATATCTTTTGTCTTTTATGACCTGGTATGTCACTTAAATTTTGTTAAGGCCTCACCAATTTGATTCGTTGGTTCTCGGATTTGCCTATTCATTTTTTTCTGATTTGGTTCTGAATCAACTAAAAATGCTTATATTTTGCCCCCAACAGTTGAGGAAAGTCCTTTTCTTCCTAGCTCTTACAGTTTTTCTACTATCAATGCAGTGGTTTTATTAAAAGTTCAAAATTCATTGTTGAAATATTAACCCAGCCTTTTGTATTGACTTCATGGCTCCTATCGTAGCATTTGGGGCTATAATTGGATGCCTAGACCTGTTTTTTTTTTCGCCCTGTCGCTTCATATTTTTAATGAAAAAATCCAAGAACCAACAAATTAAATTGGTGCGGCCTAAGCCAAGAAAAGACAGTTATTGAAAGCTGTGACTGACACAAAGTACAAGAATATAGATTGTAGAAATTTATTGTGCCATCGAAATTTGAATCATCATGACTAGCATTTTAAATTTTAAAGTGTTATAAGTTATATATATGTTATAAGATTGCTGTACCCAAAAGTTATTTCAGTTTCAAAAATACCTTTTCAGATTGTAATAAGTAATTATTTAATAGATAAATACTCATTATTCTGTCACATACAACATTTTGTTTCATCTTGTTCATTTGTCTTTTACAGATAGGAGCATCCTTCTCACAAACCAATGTATCTGTGTATATTGTAGATCTAAATGTAAGTATGAAAATAATAATTTTTTCCATACCTTGGTAATATTTTTAAAACATACAGCCATTGCATGCAATATTATTCCTTCAGACATTTTTTACCTATGCTTGTGTGACTAACTAACCTACAAGGAAAACCATATGTTTTGCCTTTCCTCTTGTAACAGTTTTCAGTACTAAATAGCATTCTAACCTGTTTTATCACTTGCTCTAGACTGTGACTTGCAGTCCCTCTCAAATAAAGGTGTGTGTTTTGTTTTCTGCAACAACTTTTTTCGGTGACATTAGCTTTCTGCCATTAACAGACATTTTACTATCTAGCAGCACCACCTAGCTTTCCATTGCCCTCTATTTCTGCTTATGACATCACTTAATTACTGACAGGTTTTAATCTGACATCGAGTCTATACATGTTGAACATTGAATGTGAAGTGCGAGAAAAATTGAGCATGATGTATTTTAGTTGAACAGATCAATTTTGAATACACTAGCACAGAATGATCAAACATGCTGGATGGAAATGTACTAGTAGTTAGAAATTTGAAATCACGAAGAAAGAGAAGTTCTGGTCTGCCTGAGGATGTACCTTAACCTTCTGCATGCTGCCTGGACCTATAACTTGTACAAATTTGTTGCCAAAAGGCTACCTGAGTAGGGGTTGGGTTGGTATATCTTATCTGTAGCCCATGTTGAAGTTGTTCTTTCCTTGCCGTGTGCAGAGAGCCCAGATGTCAGGTCCAGGAATGGTGAGCCAGCCTGCCCCGTCAGAGCCGGTCAAACCACCCATGTCAGCAAGGTCAGTTTTTTGGCCTTGCCTTACTGTTTGGTCCAAACACTCATGTGTCATACATTCAGACTCAGAGTACAACTTATCTTTCTTCACAGAATGCCATTAACTAACTGAGTATTGAATGGCAAAGTTCTTTATTTTTTTATGAACGTTTCAATGACCGTCTGTCATCTTTATCAGGGCAATTCTGACTGGTTTAGTGTGCACTGACACTAGATGTTACTTGTTGCATAGTGCACTAAAGGTGTTACATGGTTGTAATCAAAGAACTTTGCTATTCATTCGTTTACCAACCTGATGAAATTATTTACGGGTAACTGAGTATTCCAGCCATTCTGGTCAAGCAACATTTTTTTACAGTTGGCATCAAGTTCAACTTTTGTCATATGTTCCTAAGTACATGTATTTAGCATTTTGCTGATGTTCCTGAGAGTGGTGAAACATGCCAATGAATGCTGTTACGGTAGTTTGTTTTGTAGTCGCACTATGGCTCTGCATGTTTGTTTTCGCCACACATGTAGCTGATGGAGTCATCTGCCTTTGCATTTATTTTGTACCCAACAACTCATATCAGGACTGCTATGACATTATCACTAGTAATGCAAAGGATGAAATAACATACAGTACATACGCCAGAGCCAATTTGAACCCAGAAGTTACTTGTGACGCAGCAGCTTGTACGAATAGTTTTTGCCGTACGTTGACTAATTTTTACCTCGCTTGCAGTGGCCGTCGCATGTTCATCACTGAACGTCCTCCTACCTCCTCCACCAAGAAAGCCAGGTTAAACACATGGCAACACTGCTCACTTTCATGTTGGAAATACACTGGGGAATCAAATTAAATTTAGACAGAAATTACTGTAGTCTGTATGACAGACTGTTGGTCAGGACCAATACACAGGCCATGGCAAAATTCCTAGTCTAGAATATATTTGTCCTGGAGCCAAAGAGCTATCCTGTGTATTGGCCCTGGCAACAGTCTGCCACCCTGGCTAGATTGAACTATCTCCATTGGTATAAGAAATATTACAGAGGTACTGTATAATGATAGGTAGGCAAGTGTGCTCTTTCAATTGACTTGTGAAACATAAGAATTAAAATTAGTAGAATTTTCCAACCTTCCAGTGTCTTGTCCATTTGCAAAGTGAGCAGTGTTTGGTACATCATAGGCATTGAATAACCTCCACACAAGCAATCCACCTATCTGTGTGTGTGGACGACTGATTTACATATATCTTTGTCTCTCTAACTCACCTGTCTCCTTCGCTGGTCTGTCTGCTTCCTTTCAGCACCTCACATCTCAATTCTCTTAACAAGACCTTCACTGTGGCACTCGGCTATAAACTGGGGCTTTATGATCTCCTCTCCAGGTAAATTCTAAACAAAATCTTAGACTCCAGACCCCACCCTTATTACTGCTATCATTTAGAGGAACAGATTTGTATATAAGTGATATAGGATATCAAAATAGAAGTTTGAAATTGCCTTCTGAAAAACTGTGCAATTGTACTCTCTGACATTTTCCGTCTGCATCTTCTTCTGTTGATTTGCCCACCTTTTCTCATTCTCTTTACGATGTTGCTGTCTACTTTGCTGTGTTCTTCAGTTGTTGTTTTTTTAAAGTTCATCATTCCTGAATCAGGTCAGAGTTGACGTAACTGCAGTAGTTTTCTGTCCCTTTTTTGATCCCATTTCAGTAAAGATGTTTTGAGTACGATTTATTGTTTCTTCTCTGTGCAACAAATTGAATTAATGTGTGGTTGTGGATAAAAAAAATTACTATAGGTTTATTAAAATTGAATGAAACAAAACCTACTTCTAGTTAATGACAATGTAAATCAAGACTGAATTGTTAGTCTGCATTTTTCTGTTGCAAGCTAGTACATACAATAAAACCCAACTATTCGCACATACATTTCATAGTGTTGACTTTTGTTGTTTTTACCCACAGTGAGATGAAAACAGAACCAGAGGAAGAGTCGTCTGCGTCCAACGAGCCAGAAGACGACAGCTCGAATGTGGCACAGATCGAGAACCAAGACGACTATAGAGAAGTGTTCCAGGGCAGGACCAAGATAGGTTAGCTCACACCCTTGTGCTGATAGATAGACTGTTATAAGGTGTTCAATCAAGTTAAGATTCTTTCAAGTTTTGAGTGGCTGGCTTGTTCTTCTTTCTAGCTGGCGCATTCATCTTTTTGAGTACAGTTTGACATGGAAGAATTTCCTCATTTAAGAAATATTTCGCTCATAATTTTGCCAGAAAGTTATTTTAGCAGTAAAACATGAAAAGGCATCACTTTTTTGCTGCCTTTTTTGTTCAGTGTGAAGGCAGCGCTTGACTTCTATGCCTCGTGCGCCTTCTTACTTGTCTTATGTGCGTTCTTACAAAGTTATCTTTTCACAGTGGCTCTTTGGCAAGCTTGCACTATACATGTGCTAGCTTTACACATTTTTCCCAACAGAAAAAAAAGCTGGGCAACGTTGCACAACTCCAAACTGACCCAGCTAACAGTATAAAACCCTTTGCACCATTTCTGTCTTACTTTTGCACCTTCTCCTAACCCTTACCCACCCTACAACCAGCATGATATTTCTACTACTAGCCACGCTTAAATCACCCTTGCATGAGTTTGCTGTGTGGTCTGGTTTGCTGTGTTCTGCCCCCCTCCCCACACCTCCCCTGCATGTTTTGCCGTGCCGTGTTGTAGGAGAGTAGTATTGCCTGTATGTGCTTGCTTAGGTTTATGTTGGTTCCTTGGGCCTGATTTCAGAACGAACCCCCCCAAGGAAACTTGAGCCCTTCCCAGCCCCGCCTGAAGGTAAGAGTGAGATGTGTGCCATAGTTCTGAAGCTGGAAAGTCACAAAAAGCCCTGGTTACTAACCTGTCCTAAGTTAGGCCATGTTGATATGATTATATGGATGACATCAGCCTGTGCATGAATTTTCGGCTGTTATCAAAAAAAAAAAAAGTTCTGTAAATCGTACAAAACAGTTGCAAAATTAGCAAATATATACCATAAGTTAAAAAAAACATTGGAAAATGATACCAATGTCGTAGAATGCCAAAATCAAACAAAAAAGACGAAAATGTCAAGAAATTTATTTGAAGACTTAGATTATTCGCCAAACCACTGTGTCATTTGTTGAACCTTCAAAACCACGTAGATTTCATAATGAAAAGAACTTTTTTTTGCCAAACTTTTTTTTATTCGCACGCCCGCATCAGTTTTGGGGTTCCCAGAGGATGTCATCCATATAATCAAGTTAACATGGCCTTACAGCCCTTCATTTTTAATTTTAGGGCCAAAATCTGCACAAAAATGTCAATAACCTCACACTAGTACTGAAAATACAGAGGAATCTAACAAAAATTCAGGCATAGGGGATTTTTTCTCTGACATTTTAATACATATGTTCATAAAAGACTAATATTTCATTAACAGTGTGAGCAGTCACAATATCAAGTTGTCAGGAAGCAACTGATGATTTTATGTGGCAAAGAAAAAATGTTGCAGTTTGTATGTTATGGCCCACATTCAAGTCATCAATGTTTGACAATTCCAGTCCCTATATAATAGATCCCATAGCAGTAGTTAACTCTTCTATTCTACTTCATATATCACTTTAAAATACATAATTTTGATGTTTTTTTTTTCAAAGGCACATACAATGTAGCTAAGAAAAATATTCACAGTTTGTGTCTGATTTTTCTAAGTTGTATCTTGATATACATTGTATACAATGTTGTAGTGTGCTTGTGCTTTTTTGTATTGTGTATGTTGTGTGTGGTGTTAAGTTTACAAACATACTTTATTCATCATTCCCCTTCCACAGATTCCCCTCCAGAAGGTACAAGTTTTGCTAGTGAACTAACTCTCCTGGTTGAAGTGCCACTGAAACTGTTATTTTTATACCTCCCATTCAATTTTCTGTCAAAAGATGTCTTTGACCTATATGACACTCTTAAGCAAGGTATATAGAACTCCCAGTACTGTAGTACCAATTGCACTGTTTGCAGTGGCCTCTGTGTTTGCTGTGGAAAGTTTCAGGACTTTTCTCCTGAAGTTTTTTGTGTACATACATATAAATTAAATGGCTACACTCTACAACTAAATATTCAAGTATGTTAATGCTAAAATTCAATGTTGATTCTAAGAAATTTTTTTTTGTACTTTCATTTTTTTTTTTCATGTGTAAGTCTTTTTGAAGTGCTTTTTTGTTAAGGTTAAGCACTGACAGAACACACCATAGTTTTATGCTGTGGTAAAGATATCGGGTTTACCTCTATCATCATATCATCCCATGTGTTGTTACAGATCAGTCAAAAGCAAAACCATACAAACAGCCAGCAAAGGAACAGAAAGCAAAACAGGTACGGATATTCTGACTTCCTAGTGGGCAATTTTCACAAATTTATCTGTTAAACCATATTTAATTTGTAATGATCAAAAGTCTATAAAAAGAAAAATTGAAGCATCCTGTATGAAATCTTGGATGTTTTAAAATTGTAATTTACTTATGAACAAGTACAAATGACAGTATTCTGAGATTATACAGATGACTATGTTTTTTGCACTTGGTGATGTTCCCAGGAGCAGCCTATGAAACCTGCCACCATTGTCCCAGCCGACAGGAACAAACCTGCAGATCTCAACATGGCAGAGTTCCTGCCCGTATGTATGAATTGATGTTCTTAGGCCACACCAATTTAAATTGTTAAAGCTTAGTCTTTATCTCATAACCATTTTAATTTGTTGGTTCTCAGATCTTTTCAGAGAAAGTATGAAGTGACAGGGTGAAAATAAAAATAAAAATAAAAATAAAAACAGGTCTAGGCATCCTATCCCCCAAATGCTACCATAGGAGCCATGAAGTCAACACAAAAGGCTGGGTTGATATTCGAACAATGAATTTCAAACTTCTAATCAAACCACTTCATAATAGATGGAAAAACTGTAAGAACTAGGAAGAAAAGGACTTTGAGTCGGGACCTAGAAGTGTATATTTGCAGAAAGTATTTCCAAATTGCAGAACAATATTGTGACATTCTGCAATATTGCAGAACATTAAAAAAAAAAGTATTTCTGCCACTGAGTACTTAGCGCTTGTTCCCACTTTTGCACTGTAGAAGAGACCAGACTCGGCGGTGTCGGCTGACCCCAGACGACCCCCGGCGGTGAAGGAACAGTCGGAGGACGAGGTCCTGACCAGTCTGCACAAGGGACACGAGTCCATGTGTGCCGTCCTGGGCAACAGGCACCGCAACCTGGAGATCGTCAGGGCGCTCTGGACCAGCGGGGACATCAAGGTCTGACCACATCACACCACACTTCATCTGTATATACCAATCACCATACATCTGTATAGACTGTGATACACAATCTATTACAGCCAGGGGTTAATTGGCCCCCTCCCCAAGGGAGGGCGGCAACTGTCGAAGTGGCCAGCCGCTAGGGACTCCAGCTTAGCCTCCACCAGGCCTTTCTACGGGAATACGGATCATAGAATTCGGCAAAAATAGAGAGTAAAATTGGCCAAGGGTGTCTGGCCGTGGGGAGGTAGTTTCTTTCCCTCTTGCGCGGCCAGTCAAACCTACAAGGCGGTCAAACTCCCCTGGCAGATATTCTCCTATATATAGCCAGCGTAGTTAGTCTGGTAGAGACTATCAAATACTAGGTTGGATGCCAGACACCATAGCATGCCATGCCCCTAGTTTGTCAGATCCTAACTGGGGTGGGGGGGGGACATGTTGGCACCGGAGCCTAGGAGCAGAGCATGCCAGTGCAGGCCCTGGAAACAGTCTGGCATCCAGGTTACTCAAACATAAGACAATATTTTACCTTTCTCTATGAGCCAGGGAGTTGGGGGTCCATGGTAAATTTCGTTGAGGGCATTTTGGCCCCAGAGTCGAGAAGCTGGCCCATGTAGGCCCTGGGAACAGTCTGGCTTCTAGGCTACAGCCTGGGCTCATCTGTGGGGCTGGTTCTGAGAAGGCCACAGGAAATCATCAATCTTGAGAGTTAACAGTGCCCTGACAGGATGTGTAGGGAGCACTGATCACTGAGATAGACCCTTACTTGTTCTTGTAAGACTCTCCAGAGAGCAAGTAGGGTAGCTATTGCTGTATCATAGCATTAAGTGATAGGTATAGTTTAGGAGGAGTTTATCTGATTGCACAAGATCTGGCCAGTAATGTCAGGAATCAAGCCTTCAACACCACATGCGTTTGTATAATGCACGACTGTATAAGTCATGCAGTAAGTATACATAGATATTAACACATGAGAGACACTTGCAACAAACAGAACGCTTTGGGGGCACGAAGTTAAAAAGGGCTTACACTGGGGAAAGCTCTATTTAAAGCGTAAAACAAAGAATAAGTATTTGGTGTAGAAAAATTTCTTTTTCATGGTCTTATGAGACCGATGAAATGCCTACATGTACTACTACATTTGTACAAAGTATTAAGTCTGAATAATGTGTTGTCCTTTCTTCCAGACGTCAGTAGATTCTGCTGTTGGGATGAAGGATCTATCTGTCATGGTGGACCTTCTCAATGTACTCATTCTCAAACAGTGAGTCTACTTTTGCTTATCCTATTAAATAAAGCAATACACAAATCTAACATGTGGACATCTTGACATGCAATTAAATTGAAAGTAACACTGTCGTTTTGCTATGTTTTAGGATATGGTTCTAAATTCTAATTGTCATGTACCATAAAAGTTTTATGTCAGCATGAAGGTTGTTTAAAAGAAATGTGTACTAATTATCCCAGACTTACAGCACATATACTTAATTTACATGTCCTTTTTTTTCCTATTGCTGCTTGATTGCACATGTACATGGCAGCCGTGACTGGTATGACTTCAGCATACATTTGTAGGCACTCCGAGCCTCCGAGCTCTTATTTTCAGAATATAGTTGCAGTATATTCATGCGTTGGTCTAAAGAAGCATGGGGGAAGCCTTGCATAGTTGTACAAATACACTAGGAAGCTAGAAAATTTTACTAGAGCTAGAAGGTTAAAGTTTGTGATATTCTGTATTCCAGCTCCTTGTGGACTCTAGATCTATGCACTGTTTTGCTGCCTCAGATTCAGGAGCTGTTGGCATCCAAGTACGAGAGGTAAGTTGTGTTGTATGATATACTTTTACTTCTAATAAGCTAAAACAATACTACACTTCAAAATAATGATTCTATTATTCTTGTATCTACTGTGCCTGAGACTATGTTTCCACTCTCCGTCCACAGCTACTGCCACACAGCCTGCAATGCCTTGAAGATTGTCCTGCGGAGCTTCAGTTCCATTATTAAGACCAACGTTCAGGCTCCTCCAATGGGAGGTGGTGTCGACATATCCAGGGAGGAAAGGTAAGGTTCAGACCTTTATTGTGATTGGCCTATGCAATGGAAGGCTACCGTTGAGGCCCCATAGTCTACACAGTAATACCCAGTACCTTTTCTCTAGTCTAGATTGCTATTTAAGATACATGTACATGGCATTAGACATTTAAAAACTAGATACATTTTACAGCATAGCAATGGTCTGTTCTTACTTTCTGGCAGAGCTACATGTATGTATGCCACATTCCCCAAATTTTGTCTGTGCAAAATTGACATGTACATCAATTAGGTGTTACTAAACGAAGTCTACATTTGGTGCCCTGACTTCATTTAAAAAGTAGATAAATTTTACAACACAGCAATGGTCTGTTCTTACTTTCTAGCAGAGCTAGCCTATGTATGCCACATTCCCCAAATTATGTATGTACAACATTGTCATGTACTTCAATAAGGTGTTACTATACAAAGTTTGATACCCTGACTTTATGTAGTAAACCATTTTAAGAAGATATTTTGACATCCATAGCCATCTACTACCTGTGTGAATAATGTTGTACTGTCCACACTTTCTACTAACCCATGTATGTTTGTTTCTGTGGCGTCTACTTACCCGTTTTCCCTCCGTGGTTTGTTGTTTCCTGTTTTAACCTTAGATACAAGAAGTGTAAGGTCTGCCACGGCCACCTCATGTCCATCCGTGGTCTGGTGGAGAAGAAACAGTCCATGTCGGGGAAACTGGGCAGCACCTTCCGCGAGCTGCAAATCATGCTCAACGGGCTGGACGACTAAATCTCGCACCTACCAAACCTTCCACGCGTCGTGACGCCACTCCCTTACGCGTTCCGAACTCCATATCTGCTTAAAAGCACAAATAGATAAATTTCCAGTTTTGCACCGAAATGGGGAGCTGAAATAGTGACTTTAATACTCCCCAGAACTTCTGGAAAGTTGGGAAAAGGGGGACCACAGATAAAGACAGGCTTGTTATTATGAATTGAAAAAGCTGCTCCTCTAGCATTGTGATATTATCCACAGTTAGTTTGGTAAGATGGTTTGTGGAGTGTATCTTGCTGAGGATATTGAAACACCACATGCAGAGCGTGAGAGTGTAGAGTGAGATTGATTTTTGAGTGTCATGTTAATGTTTGTGTTTCGTCAGTCCTTTGTCTTGCCCTCACCACACATGTTAAGTCCCTCTGTTCCCATACACCAAAGTACTAAATGGCACCTAACTTGATCATACTGGATTTATAATTTATGTTTTAAAGAAGGGAAAACACATCTTTAATCACAGTTTTATGGTATACCGATTTCAGCGGCCCGGCCTGTAGAACCCTATTCTTTGTCCTGTCGTGTGGGATGTTGTATGTTTCAAAGATAGGAAAAATTCAACGGTGGAGGGAGCATTAGGTACATGTTACATTTCTTAGCATTTCAGAATGCCTTTCACATCTATAATATGATCTACCAAAAGTAGCCCACAAAATTATCTACAAGGGAGGTCAAAATCTTAGTGAGTACCCTCAGACACTGTGGCAAACTGGACAAAGCTGTTAAAACTGGGCAAAGACATAGTTTCTTTCCAGTACTTCCAGAAAATTCGGAATGCCCAAGTGCAGTCACCTACCTTTGCTGGTTGCATTGGTTACCTGCAATGCTGCTCTCCTAACACTAGGTGTCCCTTCTGCAATACCGTAAATCAATACTCCAGTGGTGCAGTTCCAGTAAACATTGGCTGCTGACAGAGATATGTATACTGAGCTTGTATGCCTTGTAGCTTTCTTTGTACATTTGAAGCAGTGAAAATGAGCATGCTTTGTCTTGAAGATACATGTTTGTATGGCAAAAGTCCCTTGATAATATTTAATTTGTCTAGAATGCAGTATTGTCAAGCCACTGAGGAAAAATTTTGGTGTAAAAGATTTAGTCTTTTCAGTCTGAGATACCTGCAAATGGTGATTGACAGTTGGCCCCTAATATTGGGGAGTGTACATAAATGTCATTGCCTTGGAAAAGGTATAATTACGTGTTGATTTGTTGATTTTCTGCTTTTTTTGAAAAACGACGAGTGTCACAATAACCTCCTTAATATCACTTATAATAGGTCTTACTGTATGGAGCTGGCACTGCATTTTGATGTGAATTATACTTAAAAACTATGAAAATTAATGATGAATTTGTTACAGTATGTAGAATATTACAAATGGCCTGCAAGTAGGAGCTTATGTTTGTGTTTTGTTTCCAGATTTGACTGTATTGGTTTAGCAAAATAAAAGTATCCACAGCAAAGACTAGATGTGTATATAGATATGTACATGTTCCTTTCCCTTGTCGACCGTATAATATAGGTATTGTGTTGCACACAGGGCTAGAGTAGCCAAAATGTCTGCATATGGTGCCTTTGAACTATGCATGGCCATGATTTGAACAAGTGCTGGTATTCCTGTAGAAACTTCCAACAAATGTTAGGAAATGTGGTCTTATACGCTGTGTTTTGTATGCTTTGGGATCAGTACTGTATTAACAAAATATACAATAAGGGCTTTGATAACTCACTGAATCTATAAAACGCAATCAAAAGCTAGGCAAGCCTGTATCACAAAATTCTTCTGAGGTTGTTGTTAGGTTCAAAACTTAACAACGAGATCTGTGTTTCTTTCCCCATAACATTTAGTATTAGATCCCCAAATCTTACAAAAGTCAGCTCTGTGAGACAGTTTACTTCTTATTGCCTATAATAGGCAGGTCTCCTCGATTTTGTTTGTGTGGTTTGTGATAGTACCTGGGAGCACTGTTGTTAAAGATTCCTGCACAAGATTGATAATGATATTTTCCTTCACGACAACAAGTGTGTGTGTGTGTGTATATCTGAGTCCTATCTACAATAATTAGTACAGTAGCATATGGCCTAGGAAAAAAATGTTGTGTTTCCTGTTTCAGTCTTGAAAAAAATAGGGTTGGTATGTAGGGGATTTACTTCTCTAGTAGTGGTCCAACTTATATTCTCAATGTCAATGTTGGAAAACTGACAGTGCAACATCTCATCACTCAGGTGTCAAATCATGGAGCTAGAAAAGGTCGATCTGCTTGAAAAATTTATGTTCCTTGCAGGATCCGCACACAAAAAACAGGTTAGGGTCGGCAGTTTTTTGTAGGGTCGGTCGGGAAACAGGAAACAACATTTTTTTCCTAGGCCATGGATTTCCTATGGATTCGAAATAATTTATATTCTGACAACACAACTAATCTCCAAGCAAATGTAGGATCTGACTCAGTTATATCTCACAGACTAAAAGATCTAAAGCAAAATATATGTCATGTACAAATCTTGTCAACACTGGCTCAGTAAAACACCCTGACTGGTCTATCCTTCGTTAGCTTGGAGATAAGTTTCTATGTCTCTCAAATAGTGCACTGTTTCTGTGGTCTTCATGTACCAAAGCAAGCCTCGAAATTAACTTTTCTTCCTATTGTCCCAGCACAGTCCCAAAAATAAATTTCAACTTCATTGAACTGTCCCAACCTGTTTTTTGGGAGGTACGTATGACTTAACTTGAAATCAACTTTAGTTTGCTTATGTTCACTCCCAGGCACACAATAATTACAGATCTAGTAGACAGGAAATTTTGGGGGACTTTACTGGATCCTAAAGCCAGGACATGTGCCTGATAAACAAAAGAAGGGCTGATATTGTCCCCAAAATGTCCCAAAGCGTCTTTTTAGTTGTCCCAGCGTGGTCAGTGGCCATTAGACCATCTATAATTTCAAGCCCTGCAAAGGCATCCAGCGAAAGAATACTCTTTAAAAGATTTACGAAACGCTGCAAAAATAATGACCAAGAAAAGCGGAAGCCATACGTCTGTGTAGGGACAGTAATTGGTAATATGACGGATGACTGACAGCCCTGCTGGTGTCAGCAGACCACTTCTCCCTCTTCTTGTCGTTACCGCCTGCCCTTGCCTGACCTTGATCTTCCATCAATGACAGGGCTTACCTGATTTCTCAAGTCTCGACCTGTGACAATCCAATTTTGTCGGTGTTGCCAGTATGGATTTTAACAGACTACCGTAGTAGTGTAAGTGCCTTCTCACAACTGCAATTTTGTCGGCCATTTTTCACAACTACGGTACGAAGCAACCACCCAAGATGATGATTTGTCATTTTCCAAGGCCAGTGTCTTCCAATTGACAGGAAAGTTCTTATCCATTATTAAGTTATTCGTACCAGTTCATAAGGTTTGCATTAGATCGTAGGTTACAAAGTTCATTCATGATGTCCAATATTACTTTCCATCCAGACAAGTTGTAAAGAACTTCTAATATCGGGTTACCGTATAATTTTAAAAGATTAAGAAATTTGAAAATCATAAAGCTTCGACCTGTTGATGAATTTACATAGATGTTTAGTTTTCCTTTTTGTGCCCACGATCATGATAATGATCATTCTGGCAACCTCATTTTCACCTGAGCGAAGTGAGGAAAGTAAGTGTAAATTGCCTTTCCCAAGGACACAAGGTCGGTGACTTGACAGGATTCAAACTCGGGACCTCTTGGTTCTGAGCTGAACACTCTGCTGTTACGCCACAAATTTTTTCTGCAAAATAAAAAAAAACAAGCTTCCCACTATATTACGATAATTGTTGATGTCTGTCATAACATCCATTGATGTCTGTCATAACATTCAAAATCAAACTTCTAGATTTCAAACTTCACAAATGCAAAAGAACAGTCTGCAAATAAAAAAAACAAGCTTCCCACAAACGTTATATTATGATAATTGTTGATGTCTGTCGTAACATTCGTTGATGTCTGTCATAACATTCAAAATCAAACTTCTAGATTTCAAACTTCTCAAATGCAAAAGAACAGTCTTCCTCCATCAGAAGAAATGCGATCATCGGAAGTTCCATGATAGATGTTTTCCATGCAAATTAAAAAAAAGCAAGCTTCCCACTATATTATCAAAATTGTTGATGTCTGTCATAACATCATAATCAAACCTATCCTAGCTAGGCTATCCTTTGGCCTCCAAGTTAGACCCCCTTTCCCATAGACGAAATGTTACCTCTATATCCCTCTTTTACAGATATTTTCATGGTCATTGCTCTGCAGAACTCACCCAACTAGTTCCACCACTCAGAACTTTTAAGCGTTCCACTAGGTTCTCCACTAGCACACACAACTTCACCGTCCAAATTCCTTGTTCAAATCTTTTTACAGTGACAGTTTCTTTCCCCATACCGCCAAGCTTTGGAATTCCGTCCCTGACAAGTGTTTCCCACCAACCTACAGTATAATCTACATTCACCGCCATCTCTTGACATAGCCATGTTTCTCTCATATTTCTAGTGCAATGCAGAGAAGTGGTCGTATAGGCCTTGCATCGAACCACTCCATTAAAAAAAAAAAATAGACTTCAAACTTCTTCTCAAATGCAAAAGAACAGTCTTCCTCCATCAGAAGAGACACGATCGTCGGTAGTTCCACCTGACAGGAGACAAATCATCCTTGCCCTCTAAGGTCAAGGCAGTGAAAGCATAACGAGCCCTCAGGGATCCCCAGTGATTTATGAAGTTCATTTGTGTGATGTATTTATGGTCCCGTGGATGAAGGATGACATGAAGCTGGCATGTGTTGTAACTGATGGCTTGAAGAGAAGCAGGTATATATTTCTTTGACGTCTAGAAAAATTTTATGTACTTATCTATATTTACTACATGGTGGAAAAATTCATGTACTGCAATATGTGTCTGTGATTGTGGAGATAGGGAATTTGTGTAAATCAAATGTTTCACAGATGTTTACTTTTCTGATATGTTCTGATGATACAGAGCAGTTGATACGGAAAGTACGTAAGATTTTTTTAAATTTGATGTATTGAAATTGCAACAATTCAATACACGCGGAACAGAGGCAGCTGTTGCTGGTGTCGTGTTCCACACATAGAAACGAATACTGGACAGACAATACGGATTTTCACTTGAGTCTAGTGGGGAAAGTCGTGTTAAGTGCCTTTCCTAAGGGCACAAGATCAGTGGCATGTCAGGACTCGAACCCGGGACCTCTTGATTCCGAGTCCGTTGCGCCACACGACCCCACTAAAGATGAACTTCCAATGTGTCAAAACCTCACAACATGTTTATGATACATTAAAACAATGGTATGTAAAACATATAAAACAAACCGAATGTCATTCAACTTCGCTGCAGAGTTGTCCAGACAGCGACCGCGCCCAGTACTAGAAACATCGTTTAAAATCGCTAATCTGACGTGGCGCCTCGTCCCACGGTTAGATCAGATTCACCATCGCTGATTCATCCCGGATTTAAACGCTGGCCTCATTACCGGTGGGGACCTTGAACTCTGAGCTACCGTTGGAAGTACCCGCGTAATGGTTTCATCTAATGTTGTCATTTGACTCAATGATAATTATTTTTTTATTGATGTACTTCCCGAGCAAACGAAGCTGACAGAATGACAAACTTCATAGAGCTATTCACCTCCTCGGCTTGCAGGTTCTAGTGTCACATACTTGTACATGTACATCCAATGTTATGTGTTATAGTGTCCTGTGTGGAAAAATCACAGTCAATGTTTTGATAACTTCTTGTCATCTCCTTTTCACCTTAACACCTTTTTTTTTAATGCATGCCATGTGTATACTGTATTATATAAGATTTGCCTAGACATGTGGAATGGCAGTTGAACGACAAATGTTCAACATTGTAGCACAGAAACATGATTTTTTCCTCAAAAGAGAGAAATTTTCTGCGTAATTCTTTACAATAAAGTACAGTACTTGCAATTGGCACTAAAGAACACAATAGTATAGATAATTAGGGGGAATTTGGACTTCCAGGTGACTGTACAATGCAGAGTATATGGATTTTGTTCAAACAGAGAAATATGTTTGCATAATGTACTAACAGTATCCCACTACCTACAGGGGTCATTCCAAATTTTGAAGAGAACAGATTCGTTAGTTCAAGAATGGACATGGCTTTGATTTTAGCACTGGTATTTTTGCATTTCGCCCCCACTCCCTTAGTGAAGATTTATTCCACGAACAAACCATGACCGGGAGGCCTTTATGATGAATGGGATAATTGAGGACCCTATCTCAAATATTATTTGCCCATAAAACATCTAATTTTTGCTTTATGTATTTCACCTGTCACGGGCAGTCAATTTGTGCATCTATAATGATGACTTATTGAATCAACTATTTCTTCTGTAGTTTTGTACTTGGAACATCGTTTTGCAACTAGAACAGCTTTTTCAAAAAAGATTGCATCGAATATTTTCGATATATTGCATACTTTGCTTGTAAAACTTGTTAGGGCTTATTTCTTCAATATGCATGCACTTTAGCCATTATAGTAAATCAGTATCAAATGTTTTGGGCAAACTTAGTGGATAAATATTAACTTACTATTAGTATCCTTAAGTATGTAATGACTGCTCATTAAAAAGTTAATATCTTTTCATTGGCATGAAAGTTCATCTTTATCTTTTTATCGGGTTCTGATAGTATAATCCATCAAGATGTCAAAATATGATTGGCAGTTTAAATCTGGGGACTATGTTGTTGGGACAACCATTGTCTAAGACTTACATTGTATGTTAGCTGCTGACCTTGGTTAGGCCACAGTAAGTAAATTTTATGGATGACATCCTCCACAGACTCCAAATCTAATGCGAGCGGGCGAAAAAAACAAAGCATGCTGAAAAAAACAAGGTTCCTACTATTTAAAATTTTGACTCAATCATTGTACAAATGGTTTTGATTCAGTGGGAACATCACATATACACAGCCAGCATCACATACATGTATCACTCCATC